TCATTGTGCCAGTGAAGCTCTTTAATTTTGTTACAATAAAGACATCTGTTTATATATGCATTTCTGTAAAATTGACTTACAAGTTTATGAATTCTAAGCAGACTTAAAAGGATTAAGAGCAATACAGCCATCACTCCTTTTATAATTGTATCATTTTCTAAGGGAACACTTTTTTGTTTAAGACTTCTTTCTACAGCTAGATAGCATTTCATGTCCAGAGAGAGACAGCCTTACCACTTGTGAGAACATGGCCTTCCTTAATAGAAAATATCTTTAATGATTCAAACAAGAGGATATTGAACATAAGGAGATTATTTTAAAACTCTGATAGAGTGTGAGCAGATAAAATACATGCAGTAATTATAAAAAGTTGGGAAAACATAAGTACTGACTTGTTGATATTTAGAGCTTTAAAACAATGCCACAACAACAACAACAAAAAAAGGTAGGAAGATTATTTTCAGAAGAAGCAGTTAATGTGCTGATGCTACCTTTTTTCAACCTCTTTTCTGTTCAATGAAAATGGAAAAATGACAAATATGCAAAACCAAAGGAAAAGGAAAAATTACTCTCATTTCTTACTGAAACTTTGATGTATTATTGCCTTTTCTAGCTAGTTCCCAATGACATTTAGATTTTACCTGTGTTATACATCACACTGATGTCTTGCCAAATGCTCATGTCAAGGATGGAACCGTTTGTTCCTATTAGTAACAGGAAAAGCAACAAAAATTAGCTGTAACCCTCTTAAACAGATGTGTGCAACAGAGACTCCTTGGTAACAGGCATTGACATGTCCTTACAGCTGCTAACAGGGAAGCATCAGAAAAAGCACTATAGGATTAACTGCCAGGAGTCATACTGGCAGCCTCCCTGGACTGCTAGGCACAAAGGAGAGCTAGAAAGGTAGACGAGCTTAAGAGCACGTTGAGACAAGGGCTGGAGGCTGTACAAAGTACAGTAGGTTCCAGTTAAATAGGAGAAAATACAGCAGAGACTGAATATGGCAAACTTAGAATACAGTAGCTGTTGACATCTCAGTTTCAATATCTGCCCAGTTTGGTTCACAGCATTGGTTCTTTCAACATGAAGGTAACCAAGTGAGCAGAAACTGTGCAAACTGGACAGTGCTGGTGTAGTGGCCCAATGAGGTTGACATACCCAAATCTAATACAAATACTGCAGAAACAACAAGAAGGGAAGCTAGAACAGACCATAGAGATCTCGACAGTTTTGCATCCATTTGGGTAAGAGCAGAATCAGGGGGCCAAACTAACTTTCAACCAGCAAGAACTATGAAAAATCTGGAAAAAAAGCCAGAGAAGAAGTAGATCAACAGGACAGTTCATTTGACTTGGTACTGATTCCATCTCTTTACGTTTCCTCAGACCTGAGAGGAGATGAAGCTATTCTGAAAAGAAAATATTACTTTGAACACAAGTAGCAAGATTTATGTCAACATCTTCTGAAACGTATAAAGTTCAATAATTAGCACCATTATGAACTCTCCGCTGCTTACTTTTTTGTTTAAGTAATGATCATCATTTTGCTACAGAACCAGGGAATAACACTCATTATTTTGATAAAAACTTATTATTATTCAAACTTGACCTTTGCAGAACAACCACTCTTAATGCAGTGTAAGAATCTTCACAAAACGAGTGTCTCTACACTCACGCATGCAGATTAGAAGCTGTCTTACCCAGATCAACACACCAGAAGATTTGGAAGAGTTGCAACAGTACATGACTTGTGAAATAAAAGCTAACAGAACTCTATCTGAAAGCTCAGTTATTCCAAGTGAACATGTCCAACAGTAAGTCTCAACAGTGGTTCCCAGGTTTGCTCAACTAGCTAAACAATGGCAGAAAGGCAATAAATGAGGAGTTATCTCACCTGAATGTCAGTGTAACAAATATCTTGAAGATAATACCTACACCTTGACCTGACATTCCTGGTTCATTATTCATGCAAATTACTGATAATAAAAGATTGAAAACGTGAATGAAGCATAGCTTCTGGAATGACTTCTGCTGAAAGCTCTTAGGAGAAACTCTGAGGTCACTCCCAGAAATTGGTCTATAAACAAGGTAACAATCTCTCTGCAAAGTAACCACATGTGTGTTTTCAACATTCGGCTCAAGGAAACCTAGATAGCATTACAATACTAATTTTGTACTGCCATTTAAAATAGATCATAATTTATAGCCAGGAGAAACAAGACGAGACATTAGTTCTCGTACATTTAAAAATCCTATTCTTACAGAGGAAGGGTTTACTCTACCCTGTAATTGAGACCTGACTCAAAGCCATCTCTGATACAACTTTAACCAAGATGCTGGCTTGACACACCAGCCACTCTGTCCTACTCATGTCCACAGTAACATTCTTGACAAACATATAATTTGGTACAATATTTAGGATGTTTCTATTACAACAGATATTAGAAATTAGATTATTTGAAAGAAGATTAACAATGTTGCAAATCACATCTTTAGCAATAAGCGCTTTACTAATTGACTGTCTGCAGATAGTCTTCTAAAGGTTCTTATTCCAAATTGACTAGAAGTTTCAACCTAATTTTATTAAGATTGTACTTCACTATGCTCAGTCACTTCAAATTATTAAGAAATGTTTCAGGATCCTGCTTTCCCTAAAAAAGCTCTGCTCACTGCAAAAACTATTTCAATCACTAGTATCTTCTCTTAACACTTCACTTCATACTGGAAGGTGTTAGGACATGTTCTTAATTCATCAATACCAGAAAGTCATTTACCTAATACTGTATCTGAAGTTGATCAAAAGGAGTGGAGTACCTCTGCTATGAAGACAGGCTGAGAGACTTCGGGCTGTTCACTCAGAAGAGAGGACTTCAGGGAGACCCTAATTAGAGCACATTCCAGTGCCTGAAGGGGCTACAGGAAAGCTGGGGAGGGGCTTTTCACCAGAGAGGGCTGTGATAGGACAAGGGGTAAAGTTTTAAACTCAAAGAGGGTAGATTTAGGTTAGACATCAGGAAGAAATTTTTCACCATGAGGGTAGAAAGGTGCTGGAATAGTTGCCTAGGGAGGTTGTGGAAGCCCCCTCCCTGGAGGTGTTCAAGGCCAGGTTGGATGAGGCTTGTGCAGCCTGGTCTAGTGTGAGGTGTTCCTGCTCACAGCAGGGAAGCTGGAACCTGATGATATTTAAGTCCCTTCCAACCTTAACCATTCTATGACTCTATAGTTGTACATCTTTCCTGTTGAGTATATTGAACAACATTTTTAGTAGAAACAATTAAATATTTTAACTGCTTAGACATTTAAAGCACTAAACCCAAGTATTTTAAGGACTTATTTCTGATTCTTTTTTATACTTTCACAATGATTACACAAAAACAAAGAGTCGCCTGTTTTCTAATTCTGAAGAAAACTGTCAGGAAGGCTTAAAAATGGCATGTAGATATGAATCTTGTTCCTTGCAATAGATTTAAATGGACAAAGTCCCTTTATGGGCAATGAAATGCACACAGTGTCAGGGAACTAATGAAAATCTGACTGCAGGAGACATGCTTTCCCACAGGTATGAGGCAAAACTGGAGCAAACAATTAATAAGCTGCTGTCAGTTAAGTCTGCACCAAACAGGAATAATTTCACTGACTGCATGAACTGCATGAACTTATAAAAGTGACTGCAAAATGTGGCTTTTGTTACAGAAAGTCTTTAAAATACTTGCTTTATAAAAGTAATTTCCACTTAAATACCACTGGAATAGTTATTGGCTTTGTTGGAGCAAAGAAAAAAGCGTAAAAAGAAAAAAACCTCTCACAGCTTCCCACATTGTCTAATCTTTTAATCTTTGAGAAGATTAGAGCTTGTTACTACCACCTGATCAGGATGATGAAATTCTACTAGTGCAATTGATTATCACAAGTGCAAAGCAGAACCAAGCTTTTCATATTTATGAAAAGTGTAAAGCCCTCTGCTATTAAAAGTCTTCAAAAGATTTCTTCTCAGTTGCACAATAAGGCTCTAAATCCTTAAAAGTTTAATCAAAAGAGTAGCAAATGCAGTAGAAAAACATTGGCTGAGAAATCAAGAACCCATTTTTTAACTGTTTTTGTTGGAAGACTGTTAGAAGTTGAAATAAAATAAACATGCTAACAAGATATTACACTAAGTACTTTCATTAATTCATTACTGCATGTGGGCTATAAAATATGGATCTCAAAGATTATTATATAATCTTAATTTACATAATAATTTAACAAAGAGATTTTTCGAATTGCTGACTGTACATCAGCCAGACACTTAATTTAGTCTACAAATGGTCCAAAGGATTCTTTAATTCACTACAGTTGAGTGGGCTAACAATTTCAGCATCCCAATTGCAGAAAATCTATTGCCACATGCCCAAAAAGTGAAAATTATGAACATTAAAGAAGTCTGTGATCACTTACTAATCTGTCTAAACATTAATTAGGAACAGTAAGAGAAAATGTATATTTATGTCATAAAATTGTCACACTGACAGATCACAAAGTCATTGCTTCTGTATGCCAACTTGGAATTCAAAACTCATTTCCTAATTCATAGTCATGAACCCTGATACAACACTTAGCAGCTTAATCCTTTAATTTCTCACATCACTTCTACCTAGTTACGAGGCTGGGTTGGATCCCTCACGAGCAAGGATCTAAAGGATCAGCTTTTCACAGAAAGGTTTCAGAAGAGGCTAAAAAATAATGTTGTCAGATGCAAAGAGAGATCCTGATCATCCTTTCAGACCTGGAAAGCTGCTACAACGAACACAGGTGGTCTTTCACCACACACTTTGCAAACATTAATCAAAGTCCAGCAGGCGAAAGGAACCGAGAAATTCGGGAGCAGAGGTGTAGGGCAATTAAAAAACATCCCCGTATTTCTTCGAGGGGCCTGGGGAGGTGTCTGTTTTCTGGCCGAAAGATGCCCAAACCCCGACAGGTTTGGTGAGGCACAGCGGCCAGGACCTGCTCACTTACCCCACTCGCCAGCTCCGCGCTCAGGCCGAGGAGCAGCAGCAGCACCAGCCTGCAGGGAGAGAAAGGGACAGAGTCACGGGCGGGAACGGGGGTTTGGGAGCCAGGTCTCTTAAGGTCCAACTACTGAACGATTCTGCTTTGTATGTTTAGTCAGCACAATACTTGGCACTAGCAGAGCATTTTGTGTTTTCATAGCCTGGTGCAAGCATTCCTTCTAGCTTCTAGGCAAAAATGCTCAAGGCTTCCTTATACAAATGTGGTAAGACTGAAACCATTTTCATAGTACCTTCTTTATCCAAATACAGAGTGAGAAGGGGTCAGCTGAATTTTACCCTACTGTCCAGGCAGCCTTCTCCTGTGGTAAAAGACCACCTGCTGCTCTTGCTTTTTTTATGATGAGGAGAGAAATTTACTTGGTGTGGATGTTGCTGGTGTATCATTAGCCAACACACTGTTATTCAGAGCTATATTTTTATTCTACTAGTCATTTCTTGTTGATTGTAACTCTGTTCACCCTCTTTTGCCCTCTCCAGTCTCTGCAGAGAGAGTACTCTGTCTGGGTAAAGTGCTAACAGCCTTGCCAGTAACCAAGCTCTGCTCTCTGCCTTCTTTTTCTAAGATTTTTTGAGTCACACCAATCTGTCAGGTAATTATGGTAGCCTGAGCCTTTTGTGAAAATGCAGGCCAATGTCTGTCCCACCAACACATTACTTTACACAGGTTGGAAGAGTCTGGGTTTCAATACAGCCTGATTTATAACTGCATTCACTTCACTGAGGGATTCCCAAGTGTTTTCATGCCTAGTAATTCTGTGCTTTGCAATATCACCACTCTCTTGCAAATACGAAAACCAAGATGCCCAGATGCTTGGTAATTAGGCATACCTTGCTATGTACATATGCCTGCTAACATGCACATCTGCATTCCCAGGCTGTAAGCTCCTATCCAACAGCTTGGTTTCCCACTGGGATTTCTGTGCAGAGCCATCGTGTGTTTCTTGTCTGCTTTCTGCACTTACCAGATTGGGACAGTGCAGGAAAACAAACCCCAAAGCCACAAACCAGAGGCACTGCACTTCCTACTCTGTTTCCTCCACCATGCAATTCTTGGAAGCATTTCTTAATTCTTCCTCTAGCAGCAAGGAAAATGACTCTGTGTCACCTGGTCAGGCTGTGTCATTAGGAGCCTAGAGGTTACTTTTCTATGGCTTCCAGATGTCAGCTCTTTTCTCATGAGCAGAAAGAAGAGGGGCAGTTCCCACTGCCAGCACTTACACTAAACAGCAGCTGTGGAAACCCAGTGTGGCTCATTTCCCTAAAGAAGTCTGCCCAGAGCCTTTCAGAAAAGCACAAAAATTTGAGTTGAAAAATTGACATTGGAGGTAAATCCAGGGGAGGCAGGAGGGAGCGAGAGTGCGAGGCGGGGGAAGCCTGGGCGAGCTTTGTGTGTGCTCGGAACCCGCTGCTCCTCTGGGGCAAAGGAGGAAAAGAGCCCCCCGCTCTACCCCCCTCCCCGAGGGTCTTCGTGAAGAGGTGTCTGAGCTCTTGCCCGCTGAGCCTTCACCTGCATCTCCGAGTCCCTCCTGGCCGAGGCAGGGCGCCGGAGCCTCGCAGGCGCGGGTTGCCGGGGGAGCGCGCCTGGGGCTGCCCTGCTTTCCCCTTGCTTTTCCTGAGGGTTGTATTTCTACGCTCTAAAACCCAAACTGTGTTGTTAGCAGAGACAGTAGTGTGTGCAGTGTTGTAGAGGGGGCTCAGTAGGTGGCCGGGAGATTAATTTTGGTTTTTTCTCTTTGGGAGAGAGGTGCTGTCCCAGCTTCTTGGGAGTGTACTTGAATAAGACATTTATCTGTTAACAAGCGGTGGAATTAACTAAAAGGCTCATACTTCAGCATGTGTTAATTTCAGATTTTTACATTTCCTTCTTAATGGGTGTTAACTTTAAGTTTACTTGGAAGGGAAAACAAATCCAGATTTCTGTTGTTTAGGATTACTCCCTAGTTGAAAAATCATAACATGTTACAGTTAATAGGTGTAGAATACCTTTCTGCTACTCCTCCTCTACTCTTCAATTTTGCAGTTAGAACTGACAAAATCTTATTTGTCTTGAATTCTCCTTTGAAGTGCATTCCTTTACAGTGAAACTTCGTAGACCTTTCATCTGCCCTTCCAAAAAGCAAAGACCAGTCATAATATACTCCTTTCCCCTTCTGCCCCTCCTTCTTATGCTCAGGTGTGTACCCAAGTGTAAGTGATATTAGTGTGCCACCAGTGCTTGCCGATTTGGGGAACTGCTTGTCTCCACATTGCCTGCATTACTAGTTCTGCTGCTATTAAACACGACCTCCCCCCAGGCTACCTTCCTTAATTTTCACCCCTAAGGAAAGATCCGGTCAGTCTCACCTACAGGACTTAACTGTTTTTGCAGGTGGAGGATGAGGAGGTTTGTGTGTGCATTCCCTTTTTTTCTTCAGGAAAGCATCCAAGCAGGGTCTTGTGTGTGCAACTGGTGGGAGCTTGTGGGAAAGGAGACTGTGTGGGCTGACCCTGAAGTCAGTCCTTTCTTGTTTGGGAGAAATAACGAAAAGAAAAAAAGCAATGGTGGAGTTCCTGGTTCTTAACACCACCTTGTGCTGCAGCTCATTTGGGATGCATTTCTCTGGGGATTTACTACCCCACAGTGAGATAAGATAATCTAAAGACCCAAAGGTCTTCAGAACAGAGGAACACCTCTGTTCCAACCTACATAAGTTTCACTTATTTTTTTCAGAAAGGTCTAATGGCTTCTCAATACTTTGGTGTTCTGATGTTCTTGAATATCCAGTGATGGTAACACTAAATTATTCTTTTTCTCATTTTCAAAAAGGGTAGAATTAACACTGTAGCAGTATGCTTGATATACACTGTTGCTTCAGTGAATTTTGTTTGGAGCCCTGTGTAAGAATCCTCCCTAGCATGAATCTGGTGGGATGAGTTCAGGTCGTTCTGGTGTCCTTATCAATATTGAAAATTGTTATTCAATCTCGTAATACACATGTAGCAAAAGTACTACTTTCTTTGCTCCAATTGGTTCAAGTATTGTATATGGCTAGTGATAAGTTACAAGGTAAACATATTTGAGAGTCATCTGCCAATGTGGATTTACCAAGAAAAACCAAACCCCAAAACCTCATACTCAATTAAGGATTAATTTAATTGTTTAGATTGTGTTGCTGGTTTTCCATCTAAACTTGGTGAGTAGTCTATGGATCCTGCCCATGCAGACTCATTGTTGATGCAGAATGAAGTGTGTAACTACTGATGAACAGTGTACAAGTGGCTGAGGACTTGAGAGTGGAGTGATGAATGAGGTGGAAGATGGTGTCATAACTGCATTAAGTGATTTCAAGTTACACTGTTAAAAAAAAAAGGTGCTTATTAGTTGTATGCTTTCATTCAAGGGTATGAGTGCTTATAATGTGTTTTAAGCAACTATTATTGCTTAAGTGTTGGTAATACAAATCTACATACAAGTATATAAGCAAATTATTTCTTCCTATAAGCAGATTTTTTTTTCCCTCTCAGCAGGTTTATGCTTGCAGTGTGCTATAGAAAACTTGATGGCAAGCTGTGACTAGGAAATTAATTAAAGAACACAGATGGACTAGGTCTTGAATGGTACTAATCTATGAAAATCAACTGAAGTTAGGGACTCTCTATTGATAATACTGAAAAAAGTTCCCCTCATAATTATGGTCTAGGTTTTCAGAGTGTAAATAGACTTTGTCAGCCCAAATGTTATTAAAAATTTATGAACTTCTGCAATGTCTTGGGTTTTTTTCTTTGTATGCTGTTATAACTTCAGTTTGATAGAAAGTGTAGGGATAAAAACAGTTGTTCAAATATAGTAAGGGAGGTTGTCAAGACAGGTGTCACTTGTGCTTAAGAAAGTAATGTGTTATTAATGAAAGTTTGCTAACTTTAGTTGGGATTCTTTTCCTTTCAGAGGTTACCATGTCATTAATTACAATGCATTTTATTAATATGGTCAATTTGTAAATGATGTTTCTTTTCTTTGTCATAACTATTCTATCATAGTGGTTTTATTATTATTATTTCTCATTTCATAACTGGCTGTGGCTATTTCTAGTTATGAAAGCTGTGTCAGTAAAAGCAGAAAGAGATGGATTCTGGCTTTTAGGATTCAAAAAGTATTTCATCTTGAAATTCCATGGATGTGTCTTGATTAGTCATGCACAAGACTCTCTCATTTCATAACATTTTAAGGATCAAGCACTCCTGCTTGCAACTTGTTATTTGTCATGTGTTTTCTTTTGACTTTTTGTGGCTCTTAAAGATATATAATAAAACTTGTATCTCAAGGTGTATTCTGGCACATTCTAAAATACAATCAAATCAAGGAATCCTGAGTGAAGCCTACTTACACAAACCATTTGGACCCTAATAGGATCTACTATGGTCATGCATGCAAAACTGTTATGTATCTTACATAGTTTTACAATATGATGGAAGTAGTCTAATAGTTGAGTGGAATCTACTAGACTTCAGTTTTCCTGGTCATTAATGTATTAATCTACTCACTGTAAGTGTCTAAACCAATTACTGTTTTTTAAAGTAGGGATATTTTTATAGGACAAAGTACTACTTTGTTTATTTCACAGCCAATGTAAATTTACATAGTGGTCTTTTTCTACAACGAATAAGCAATATTACTTACCATAATGCAATTAGTTACTATTGATTTTACTGGAACATGCAAAAACTTCTCTGAAATACAAACCAACTGAAATCAGTAAGAACATCCCAACAAATCACATTTTCTGCCTGGAGCAAAGTGCAGTAAAGGATCTGTTCTGCACATACAGCAAAGATGTATTGTACATTTTTACCTTTCATTCACTTAGATTAAAATGCTTCCTTCTCTAATTGCATTGATTGTGTAAACTCTCCACTGGTATCACCACATAGAAAGATGGCCAGATAACACTCACACATTCTAGGAATAGTGTTTCGCAAGCATACTGAATGGAAAGCAGCCTCTGCCAGTAATCATAGTACCAGACACATTGCTTTGAATGAAGGCACTTTTAAATTACCTGTTTCGTAGATCTGTATGGACTTGGTGATGTTTAAAACTGCTGGAGTGCTTTTGAGTTCTTGCTATATGTAGTATTTGGCTACTTGAAGTTGACTGCAGACTTTTCTGTGCAGTAAACCATCTCTTCTCCAGAATTCCTAAAATAAACCTTGATAAAAGATATAGTGCTGGTACAGTTGTAATAATCCTGAAGCAGCACCCTTTATCCTCCTGTAAAAGATGAGCAATGCAATTAAACCTTATTAAATATACAGTGCAGCTTTGAAAAAGGAATTGTGCTGATTGTGTAATTGCTAAGAGTGTGATTTGTGAAGGAAAGGCTTTGATGTAATGTGAAGTTATCAACAGAATAAATTTAGCTGAGCTGAAGAGAAAAGGGTCCTGTTATAAAATGGAATTCTAATGCTTATTAAAAAAAACATTTATTTGCTCTTGTTCTAAGTCTTTCTTAGAGAACTTGTTGTGAGAAGATGTGTCCTATGTTTTAGGAGGTACAGAGATTGGGCAATTAGATAATTGTAAAGCTACACTGCAAATAAAACGCTTTAGCTTAAACTTGTGAGTTCTTTAGTCTCTGCCTATAAAATGCTTGATACTTAAACCTTAATGTATTAATAGATTTTAATCTGCTTGGAAAAGATTTTGATACTGAGTGACGTTTGTTTATGAAACTCTGCATCTTTGCTGTCTTGCTTTGACTGGAAGGCTGGACTGAGTAACCTCCTGAGGCCTCTTCCAGCCTGAATTACCCTATAAGTCTAGAATTATGTGATAGTACAAATATGCTTCTGGATGTACTTTCTGTTCAGACAACTTACATATCATGTAGTCAAGAATTAATCAGAATTGTGTAGTTAAATTGTGATCTGGAGGCTTCGTATTTACTTAAATGCTTTTTTCTTACTTGCAACTAGTCAAGAAGCTATATCTCAAGTTGTCAACACAGCAGTATTCAGGACTTTAATTTTGTATTTAACCCTTTTGTGGAGAGTGTCTTATATGTGCAAACACACTGCATTATTCTGTTATAATGTAACAAAACCAAACTGTAGGGGTGATACTGACAGTGAGGTTTTATTACCTGAACTGTGTGGTTTAGGAGTCAGAGAGAGGACTAGATACAGATAACAGCAGACTGTTACTTGAAGGTAATAGTCATCAAGGCCCATAGTTATTGCAGCTCTGTTGGATTTCTTTGTCCCTTCACTCATTTGGAGGGGAAGGAAAATAGTTTAGTCTTGTATGTATTTTGTCTCTTTTACCTAATCTGTACAGAGAATGAAAATGTCAGAGTTAGAATTCAACCACTTCTCTCTCCTGGTACTGTAAAAGTCATCTGTGTGCAATGTCCTTAGTTATTTGCCTTTTCATTATAGTTAATTACCTACAAAATGATCCATTTTATTGAGGCATATAGCTAGACCTGTAAAACTGTCCTCCTGTAGGCTAATATGACCCTGCTCTATGTTAGATAA